AACGTTGACTTTCTTGCTCCTCAGATGCTGCCTGACCTGCTGTGTTCCTCCAGCTCCATACTGTGTTGACTTGATGATGAAGGATATCATTCCAGACAAGAGGCACAGTGCACATGGTTCCTTTCACCTTCGAAGTGACAGAGGTCGGGTGTGCAGGGGGCTATCGAAGGAGCCAGAATGGTCGAGGGAGAGTACCGTTTATACCCTGGGATAATGGAGTGGTGATCTGCAGAAAACCTTTCTGCTTTAGATCACTGGGGTTAGCGTAGGTTTGGACATTAACAAATTAGACATCTAGGTAATGAGATCCAAGGTGATAGGGAGAACCAAAAGAACTAAGGACGCTGTAAATCAGGAACAAAAACAAAGTTGCTGGAAAAGCTCAGCAGGTCTGGCAGCATCTGTGAAAGAGAAAACAGAGTTAACGTTTTGGGTCCGGTGACCCTTCCTCAGAACTGAGGGGGATAAGTGACAGGAGAGGGGGTAAGTGACAGGGAGAGGGGGGTAAATGACAGGGGGAGGGGGGTAAGTGACAGGGAGAGGGGGTTAAGAGACAGGTAGAGTGCGGTAAGAGACAGGGAGAGAGGGGTAAGAGACAGGGAGAGGGGAGTAAGTGACAGGGAGAGGGGGGTAAGTGACATGGAGAGGGGGGTAAGTGACAGGGAGAGGGGATAAGTGACATGGAGAGGGGTTTACTGAGAGGGAGTGTGGTGAAGGGGGTGTGATTGGGAGGTAAAGGTGATTAATGGGGTGAGAGCAGATTGAGAGGGAGTGCTGACTGGCAAGGAGGAGAAGGTGAGTGACAGGGACATTGGGTGAGTGACAGGGAGAAGGGGAAACTGTCCTTGGTGGTGGGGGGGTATGAATTGGAAGAGTCAGAGTCAGAGAGTCTGGTAGGAAGGAGTCACTGTGATATTTGGTTTCTAGGGAGCAGGATGGCAGTGGATAACATGAGGGCTCTTAGCAGATGGGGGTGAAGGTTCTGCAGAGAAACTGTCTAATAAATTCCTCGGGTGCTTTTAAAAATTACTTGGTTTCATTTAAATGGAACTGCCACCACTCTATTGGGTCAGAGGTGAATGTTAAGGTTTGTGTTTGATGTTATAGGTTAGAGAAACACCTCGATCACATCACAAACAGTAAACATCCTGCCTGCCAGTGGTTACTTTCGACATCCCACACTGCGTAGCGTGGAGGAAGGAGTAAGACCACTCTGTTCCACTGGTCAGGCCCAATCACACAACCCAATGTACAGCTTCCTCTTTTCCTGTTGGGGTGCGTCCACTCACAGTGAAAGGAAGGTGGGATGGACTTCACCTTCTGTCCTGGAGGGGAAACCCTGGATACAGTGATGGGCTGTTCATCCCAGCTCCCTTACTTTCTGTCGTCTTGAGAACAGCTTGATGGAAAACTTGATGCGATGGGACTACAAGTCATGTGATTGGAATGCTCGTAATAGTTTGTTAGAAAAGGTCCAGTCTTGGCCATTACTGATTATCTGCTTCATGCTTGCTGTGTATGGTCTCATGGAAATTAGAACCATTGAGAGTGCAATGAAGCCCTTATGATAATGAAATCATCAAACTGTTCAACACCACTAACCCAACCCAAACTCTTTCAGCATTACTTATTTGAAATGTTACTTTTACTGAGTCTTGAGTTTAATAAACTTTTTCTTGGGATGTGGAGAGTTTAGAACTGCTTTATTCATTGCTGTTCCCAGTTGATAAAATGGTTGTGAACCTGTTTCACATGCTGCTGTCCTTGGGCTGATGGCAGGTTTTCTTTTCGTCAAAATGGTCATCCCCTAACATGAACGTGATCTGCCACTTTATCAGCAAAGCCCTGCTCGAGGTGACCCTGGATGCTTCAGTACTGAAATCTGACAAAGACACCAGCTCCTGTCCTAGCACTGAAACAGATTCATGTACAATATTCTGAAATCTGGAACGTCTTTTCTCTTTTACGCAGAATAAGATCCCACAACTAGCAATGGGATACTGACCAGTGAATCTACTTTTCGTGATGTTGGTTGAGGAGGAAGTACATGGAGGGGACCTTCCTGCTATCAGTTTTTCCCTACAATTCTATGATCCCTGCCAGAAAGCACTAATGACCAGCTGCAAGGAAATTGAATAAATACTTGAAGGGGGAGAATGTGCTGAGTGCTGGGTTAACAGCAGAGCAGTGGGACGAGTTATCAGCAACGCTTTCAAACATCTTGCAGAGGCACAATAACTGACCTGCCTGCTATGATTCATCGATCAGGCTCAACAGTAATTGTCTTTCTCAAACAGTAAAGATAACAACCACCTAAGCTCAAATGTGAAATTTGCACAAAATGCCAACTGTGTCTCAGAGCTAAAGGATGTTTCTCTGATAGCAGAGTCTAGAACCATGGGTCCCAGTCTCAGGATACAGGGTAGAAAGAGTCATAGAGTCATACAGCATGGAAACAGACACTTTGATCCAACCAGTCCATGCTGATCATAATTCCAAACTTATTTTGTCCCACCTGCACATGCTTGCCCCATATCTCCCCCAAACGTTTCTTATTCATAAACTTATCCAAATGTCTTTTAAATGTTGCAACTGTACCTGCATCTACCACTTCCTCTGGAAGTTCATTCTACACATGAACCGCTCTCTCTGTAAAAAAAAAATTGCCCCTCATGTCTTTTTTAAATCTTTCTCCTCTCACCTTAAAAGTATGATCCCCTAGGCTTGAAATCCCCCACTCTAGGGAAAAAACACCTGCCATTTACCTTACCTGTACCCCTCATTATTGTATAAACCTCTGTAAAGTCACCTCTCAACCTCCTACACTCCAATGAAAGACGTCCCAGCCTATCCAGCCTCTCCATATAACTCAAGCCCTCCAGTGGTGGCAATATCCTGGTAAATCTCTTCTGAAACCTCTCTAGCTTAATAATATCCTTCCTACAACCGGGCAAACAGAACTGGACTCAGTCCTCCAGAAGAAGCCTTGCCAACATCCTATACAACCTCAACATGACGCCCCAACTCCTATACTCAAATGTCTGAAGGTAAACATGCTAAACACCTTCTTAATCACTCTAACTATGTGATTTAAACTTCAAAGACTTACGTACCTGAACCCCTAGATCTCTGTTCTACAACACTACCCAAGGCCCTATTTTTATTTGTGTAAGTCCTGCCCTTGTTTCTTTTACCAAAATGCAATATCTCACAATTATCTAAATTAAATCCATCTGCCATTCCTCCACCCATTGACTGAATTAATCAAAACCATTTAGGACTGAGATGAGGAAACATTTCTTCATTCAGAGGGTAGTCAAACTGTGATATGTGAAACCACAGAAAGCTGGAGGCTGATTCACTGAGTACATTCAAGAGATTGATACATTTCTAGGTATTGTAGGCATCAAGGGCTATGTGACATTGAGATAAAGGATCCACCATAATCACATTGAACAGTGGAATGTGCTCAAAGGGCTGAATGGCCTGCTCGTGCTCTTAGTTTGTGAAGAAATGGATTTTGACATTAGTTAAAAAGTTGCTTTCCAATATAGGAACATTCAAGATGCTGGATGACCAACACAGGAGCCAAGAGATTTCAGAATCATTCTGAAACTTTCACTGAGTGTTTTTATTGACTATACCCTTCGAACAAAAGGTTCCCATTAACTTCACACAACTTAAAGACTTTCACATCTGGGTTTTACTGGGCTGATCTGATCCTAGACTAAAATCCCTTTTCACTTCCTAGATCACGTGTGTCTGGTGATGAATCTACCTTCCACAATTCTCAGGTTCTGAAATGTTACCTTTTCTCCAAATGTAAACAGGTGAAAATGAGCAGACATGGGCACAATGTGACTGACCTTCAAACTGAGTTTCAAGATCATGAATTCTTTGCCCACAGATTAACAGGTTTGTGGAACAGACTTGGTGAAAGCAGTTAAAGGTGAATGAATTAACTTGATTAACTCAAAGCTCCACAAATATTTTGGATTCAATATTAGAAAGAGAAACTAATGATCAAATAGCTGGTGATGTGGAGTTCGTGCCGGGCAGGAACCAGAGCATTCGGGGAATCTGGTTGAGGATTCAGCATTTCAGGCAGGTCTGTTCCAGTAACAGAGATTCAGAGTGTGCCTGTCACTTCCAGGTCGTCAGGTTTTGCCTTGAGCATTTGAGTTTCTGAAAAGGAAACTTTGAGGCAAAGGCACTAGAGAGTTTCAATTCCAGAAGAGAATAAACAAACTAGATTTTAGGGATTGATTGTTCAAACTGAGCTGTCCTGATGAATTAGAACAAAAATCAAACAAAACAATCCCAGGGAACATTGCCATCCAATTAGGAACAGAGTCAGGAATTAGGTTACCAGAGAGACCCATTTAAACAGACAGGATGAATAGGTTCAAAGGAGTTAGACAGGGTGGGATATTAAAGGGTGCGGGGAGTAAGGGGGAGAGTGGGATTAGACTGGGTGGGATATTAAAGGGAGTGGGGAGTGAGGGGGAGAGTGGGATTAGTCTGGGTGGGATATTAAAGGGTGTGGGAGTGAGTGGGATTAGATTGCTGGGATATTAAAGGGTGTGGGAGTGAGTGGGATTAGACTGGGTAGGATATGAAAGGGAGCAGAGAGTGAGGGGCAGAGTGGGATTAGACTGGGTGGGATATTAAAGGGTGTGGGAGCGAGGGGTGTTTGCAGAAATTTGAGAATATTGCCGAGTTTGGAGCCAGTGAGCTGGTGTGAGCCGGAATTATCCGGGTTTAAACCCCGGTCAGTTATTAATACAGAAATTTACAAACACCAGTGTTGTCAGCGATTGGTGCTGACAGCCCAGAGAGCCCCGGTCTCCATAAAAACCTGAGCAGGAGCCGCTCCAACTCCACACACAGACCTACCCCCAGACCCGGTACAGACACAGGGACAGAGAGACAGGGAGACCGGGACAGAGAGACAGGGAGACCGGGACAGAGAGACAGGGAGACCGGGACAGACACAGGGACAGACAGACAGGGAGACCGGGACAGACACAGGGACAGGGACAGAGAAACAGGGACAGAGAGATCGGGACAGGGACAGGAACAGGAACAGAGATGGCCACTCGGTGGGGAATCTGCGGATCCGGCAGGATCAGTCACGACTTCATGGTGGCGCTGAAAACCCTCCCCGCATCAGAACATCAGGTACCGGGGGGGAGGCGGCGGAGGACAGGAGTGAGAGAGAGGGATAGTGAGATGGAGGGAGATAGTGAGATGGAGAGAGAGAGGGGGAGGGATAGTGAGAGGGAGAGAGAGGGAGGGAGAGATAGTGAGAGGGAGTGAGAGGGAGGGAGAAATAGTGAGAGGGAGGGAGAGATAGTGAGAAGGGAGAAGGAGGGAGGGATAGTGCGAAATAGTGAGAGGGAGGTCGTGAAGGAGAGATAGTGAAGGGGGGGAGAGAAGGGGATAGGGAGAGAGAGAGGAAACTAATGAAAGGAGAAAAAGACGAAGGTCAAGAGAGAGAGATAGGGGCAGGGAGATAGTGGGAGAAGGAGAGAGATAGAAAGAGAGGGGGAGAGCGTGTGAGTGGAAGAGAGGTATATATTGGTAGAGAAGTAGAGAGAGGGAGACAGAGACGGGAAGAGAAAGGGGGAGAGAGAGGGGGATTGGGAGAGAGAAGAACAAAAGAGAATGAGGATGAGAGGCAGGCAGGAAGAGAGATGAAGGGTTTTAGGAGGAGAGACAGAGGGATGGATAGGGGGTCAGAGAGGGAGGGCTGGGTAAGTAGCTGTTGTAGCGCCGCCTGACCCTCTCTCTCTCTGTTTCTCAGGCGGTGGCGGTCGCCTCTCGGGATTCCTCCCGGTCCCGGGAGTTCGCGGAGCGACACCAAATCCCCAAATCGTACGGTTCATACCGAGAGCTGGCGGCCGATCCCGATGTCGGTGAGATTCCCGGGATTCGGGCTCCGATGCTGTCCATCAGGGAGAGGGATCTGCCTGAAAAGACCCCCCGCCACCCCGAGTGGAGTGAGGGGGCCTGTGTATGGCAGCAATCCAGACTCCAGCTTCAGGTTCTCGGGATGTGTCCCACCCTGGCAGCTGGTGACATTTATTCAATAATAGAAGAGAAACTGTCTCAAAGGGCAGCAGGTAACAGCTGTCAATTGTTGTAAAAACCCAGCTGCTCTTTAGGGAAGGGATTCCTTACCTGGTCTGACCTACATGTAACTCCAGGCCCACAGCAATGTGGCTGACTCTTAACAAATTCCATGAACAAATAAATGTGTGAACATAGAGCGTGACAGTAACAGCGTGGCTGTACATTTGACTGGAATAGTGACAGTGTGAGTAAGAATGTATGACAGTAACAGATTGTAAAAGTATTTATCACTCGGTTGTCAGACATTGTCTACGTGGGTATCATTAACCCAGAGCACCTGAAGGTGGCTTTACTCATGCTGAATGCTGGAAGGAATGTTCTCTGTGAGAAGCCCCTGGCCATGAATCTGCGCGAAGTCCAACAGCTGGTCAGTGCAGCCCGAGACAAGAACCTTTTCCTCATGGAGGTGAGTTCAGGCTCTGCATCTCACTCCTGTTTCTCAAACTTGTAACTCGAGAGAGCACACAGACAAATTGAGAACACACAGACCAAATCAGAGCTGAACAAAAAATAACTCAGGGACCCAGCGTCAGTTTCCGATACTCTGAACTGATAAACATGGGTAAAGCTCCCTCCGCACTGTCCCCATCAAACACTCCCAGGACAGGAACAGCACGGGGTTACATACAGAGTAAAGCTCCCTCTACACTGTCCCCATCAAACACTCCCAGGACAGGGACAGCACGGGGTTAGATACAGAGTAAATCTCCAGGGACATAACAGCATGTAAAATGTGTGAATATATCCTTTAACCCTACTCCATCTTAAAATAATTATGGACTTCACAAGTTCGCTGCACCCTTCCTGTATCCCATGATTCCCCGACAGATTAAAAATGTGTTTTATGTACGAATACAGCTGGTGATAATCCTGGACAAGTCAGATCCAGAGTGAATTCTGCCTTGATAGATCATATAGAATCATAGAGATGTCCAGCTCAGGAACAGACCCTTTGGCCCAACCTGCCCATCCCGACCAGATATCCTAAATTAATCTGGTCCCATTTGTCAGCTTTTGGCCCATATCCCTGTAATCCCTTCCTACTCATATACTCATCCAGATGCCTTTTAAATGTTGTAATTGTACCAGCCTCCACCACTTCCTCTGGCAACTCATTCCATACACACATTCCTCTGCATGAAAAAGTCGCTCCTTACGTCCCTTTTAAATCTTTCCCCTCTCACCTTAAACCTATGCCCTCGAGTTTTGGAGTCCCCCACCCAGGGGAAAAAAACCTTGTCTATTTTTATGTTTAATATTTTGCAATTGCTTGGCATTCGGTTATTACCAAAACATGTTCACACAAGGCTGCAAATGTTCTTTAACAATAAAAAAGTTTATTTCACAAAACATGAAGCAAAATTCAACTCTCTCTCTCTACACACACACATACACACTCACATATATATATGAGAAGACAGTTAGAAGGATCTGAACACAAACATCAAAGTTTCATTTTGTTTCCCAACACCATCCATTATCAAGAATCAACCCAGAGTATTATTACTTCCAAGACAACAAGGTGCAGGGCTGGATGAACACAGCAGGCCAAGCAGCATCATAGGAGCAGAGAGGCTGACGTTTC